GCAGCTGGCTGGGCCCCCCCGGCTCTGCAATCAGAGATGCAGCGCTCGGCTGCTCCTCTGCCCTAAAAGCCAGCCTTCCTCCTGGCACGGGCTTGTCCCTCCTCCGCACACAAAGGCTGGTGCTGGAGACAAAGTCCCGGGGGGTGGGGCCGGGAAGGCCGCAGGAGCAGGGAGCAGCGAGAACCCGGGGACGGGAGAGCCCCGCAAAGGAGGCACGGACTCCCCCTTTCCCACCCTGTAGCTGCCATAAGCTCCAGTGAACAAACCGGAGCGCTCCCCGCTTGGTGTGTGTGGGACTGCCGAGCTAAGCCGCTTCCTTCTTCCCCCGCCGCCTCCGCTACACTCACGGGCGGGAGGTTTTGGGTTACAGCGCCCGCACCCCGGACCCGTCACAGCCACCGCGCCAAGAGAGAGGCATGGACTCGGAGCAACTGCCCGACCCTCCTCCCTCCATCCCCCCGCCACACATCCCTCCTCTGGGGCCTCCAGGTGCAGCTGCTGCACCGCACCACCTTCTTAATCTTCATGGCAGCCGTGCCACACACACTGGTGTCTGGCCTCCCTCCAGCGCTTGTGCCGCCACCATACAGCTGATCGGCGCGCAAGCGGCATGCGTGGGGAAGAGGCGGGGGCCGGGTGGGGATTTGGGGAGCTATCCAATGGGGGAAGGAGGGGGCGGAGTCAGGGCGGGGGGAGGGGGCGCGAGCCGGAGCGGAGGGCAAAAATTGCTTCGTTGTCCAGTGTCCTGACCAAACATTGGTCGGGACACGAGACAAACAAGTAAATATCGGGACAATCCCGATAAAATCGGGACGTCTGGTCACCCTAATCAAACCTGGGACCTCTGCAGCTTAGTGCATGAGCTAAAAACCAACTGGCTGTTAGCTAAGGCTTAGAGCAGATTCATTTAACTCTTTAAGAGTCTTGGTGCCACTAGATGGGAGAAAACACCTCACCCAGAAGGTATGTGGGTTACACAAGCCAGCTGACCTCTTGTCGTAAGGTGGCACACACACACGTGGAACTATCATAGGAAGGCATCACTGATGTGTATGTGTAGCCTTTGGACACAGCAAGTGGCAATATTGTTTGGAGGTGGAACATATTTTAAAAGTAGGAGGAAAAGGAGGGGCTACGTGGATTACTCTAATAGTGTGTGCCAGCGTCAGGGGTCCTTGGAGCCAAGAGTGCACTGGGCAAAGAAAGAGTCATGATCTCAAAAAGAAGAAAAGTTAGTTTTTAGCTGCAGAGATGGGAGGAGAATTACTACAGGGAGACAACATAGCAGACCTAGCAGCAGAAACACAAGAGGGCCAGAAGAAATAAAGGGAAATAATATAATAATAGTTGTACCCTGTATTTCTCTGGTTGCTTCCAAGATTGTTCAAACATTAACGAACACTATAGCCCTGTGTGGCAGTAGTGGTTATCTCCCATTGAACAGATGAGGAACTGATGGAGCAGGATTTGCCCAGGGTCACACAGGAACTTCATGTCAGAGCTGAGAATAGAGTCTTAGTTCCCCAAATTGCAAGACTTTGCAATAACCACAAGAGCAAGGGACTTGGAGACAGAGAGGAGAGGGAAGGATGCAACTATAATACAAAAAAACCCCAAACCAAACCAAACCCCCCACCAATACTGGCCTGTCAGCTGAAATCTAGAGAGAGAAGAACAGGATGAAGGACTAGAAGGAGAAAGATAGGGGAAGGGGAAGAAGAGAGAAGTGAAGCAAGAGACACCAAAATAACCACTGTCTTAGTAGTAGCTATGCAGAAGCAGTCAGCATCCAGCCGGTTAAACCTAACCATGGGAATGGGAGAGACAAGGTGGGTGAGGTAATGTCTTTTATTGGACAACTTCTCTTGATGAAAGAGACAGGCTTTGGAGCTACACAAAGCTCTTCTTCAGGTCTGAGAAAGGCACCTAGAGTGTCACAGCTAAATACAAGGTGGAACTAGCCATGGGAATGGTCATCTAAGCATCTACCCAATAAGTGTTACAGCAAGATTAATCACCATTTATAATCTCAGGAGATCGATTCAGCCAAAGGGACTTGTAAAACTGCCATAATCATATTGATTTGGGGTTTCTTTTAATACTATAAAGTGCAAAAATAAATTTTCTAGTTCGCAAAATGTGGTTTTTGTTATATTCTGAATCACTTTTCCCCATGGAAAAGCAAAGTGGTTTTCAAGACCTGAACATTTTGGAATCATGTGTTTTGCAAAGTAAAGCATAACTACCCCAAGGGCTCCTTCTTAATAAAGTAAACATGTAGGGAAGGGAAATACTAGTGTGAATAGTTCCCCATAGTCCAGCTTGGGCATAATACCCTATAATTAATGTGAGTATTCTGAAAATTCAGATGATTGAGAGCTGACCTCTGGTTTTGACCTACAATGTGCAATATCATGATAATTTGTGCCTACTTAATATTTCCATTCCATGAATGGGTATGGCCTCTAGCCTAAAAAATAGCTGAAAGAAGCCTCTGAATAAGAATACAATTTATGCTAAGGACTTTAAGGGCTCCAGTGAGCTATTATGATTTAAACCGGTAAATAAAATGTGTCCAAATGTCAGACTAAAGCAGCTCTTTTACCTTGTTGTGTTACTTGCAAAACCTCTCCACAGAAAAGGGTTCAGTTCTGTAGTCCTGCCTCAGACACAGCTCCCACAAACAACTAACTTTATATGCTCAGGTGGCAAGCAATTTTTTCATGCTTTTCCGAGAGGAAGGCACCTATTGTGAATGTAGGTGCTAATATCCCATAGAGTTCAGTGGAACGTTAGTATACAGACCAGCAGCCAACCTGATGACAAAGATGTTCAAACAGAAGCCTGGAATTTCATTCCTAACTCACTGCCAGTCTTTCACTAGCCCCCCTATTTTGTAACCAGGGCCAGCTCTAGCTTTTTTACCGCCTCAGGCAAAAAAAAAAAGGCGTCTGAACTGATGAAGCAAAAAAAACAAACCAGCAGCCGGACTGCCGAAGCAGGGAGCACGTGGAGGGCAGTCAAGGCAGCTTGCAGGGGGGTGAAGGGCGGCACCCGCCCGCTCCCTCCACCCGTGGGCAGCCCTCCAGCCTTGGGGTGCCTCTCCTGGCCGGGCAGGCAGAGCCCCCAGAGGCTGCAGGAGGTGCTGGCTCAGCCGCTCCTTTAAAGGCGGCTCGGCCAGGCCGGGCTCTGAGTGGCGCAGGAGGCAGAGGCTGGTACAGGCGGCGGGGAGTGGCGGGGATCGCTAGTTCGTACCCCTGCAGGGCTGGGCTGCCCACCCCAAAATTGGCCAGAATGCTGCCCCTTACAATGTGCTGCCCCAGGTACGTGCTTTCTTGCCTGGAGCCAGCCCTGTTTGTACACATGCTTTGAGGTACAGTATGCACCATTCTGACGCACTCATGATACCGTTGGGCATTACAGACGTGATCCAAAGCCCATTGAAGTCTTTCTTTTAACTTTCAGTGGGCCTGGAACAGGCCCAAAGTTCATCAGCCTTAACTTTGAATTTCCTTATTTTTTCATTTGTATTGCAACCATGAGATATTTTTTTTTGTGTCCAATATTTACAGAAAGGAGGAAGAATCTCTGATGCCCTAATATTAAAAGAATGTTAAGACACAGTGGCCACTTTTATTACAGAGAAAAATTACCTCGTGCTGCTCTAATGCTCCTTTCCCTGAGCAGTCCCTGGCTTTTGTTTATTTTATTTTATTTCATGTCCAAAAAATACTAGCAAAATTCTCTCTGCAGACAAGGATCATTTTATATTTGTAAGAACTGCCCCAGAATGATTGCTGTGATGGTGCCAAGATTACATCAACTGCCAGGGCTGAATGAAGACGCTCAAACATTTAAAATACGGACTACATTAAGAAGGAAAAAAAGTGTGTCTGTGAGGGGTGGGGAATAGGAACCTGTTCTGCCCGCAGCCATGATGATCATATCAGATAAAGGTGTCTTCAAATACTCCGTACCTCCGGGTTCCCAAAGGAAAACTGACAGGACTAGAATTTCAAAATCTATAACTGTATAACTGTGCAGGCAAAATCCCTAAGTATTGTTTGCCTAATTTATATGTCGATTGTCAGAATTGCACATGCACACGCATGGGACCAAAATTAGCATTTTGCACCAGCAATACTTGGATTGTGAGTGCAGTCGCAGTAACAGTACATGAAAATTATGGGCGCATTTTACATACACAATTGCACAATCTAGCCCACTCCATTTATATGCAACATTCTAATCAAGGGCTTCTGCTCCCACGGAAGTAAACATGGGTTTTGCTACTAACTCTAATGGGAACAGAATCTAGCCCTCAAGCCTTAGCTTTGTATTTTTTGCCTGCTATGAAATAGTACTAATGTTTAACAAAACAACCAATCAACCAGTTTGCCAATAACTCTTATCTACCTAAGGATAAGCAGGATATAGTCAAACACAGCTTTACTCTTACTTTTATTCAGTCCTAACAGCTAAATCTACTGGGCTCACAACAAAGAAATGACATTGTTTTACTAATCAATGTACTACTGTTCATCTAGAACATCTGCAATCGTTTTGCCTGCAGCACTACCCTATTCATTATGTGTCTTCATGGACTGTTCAATTAGGCTTTTTAAAAATGGGGTTTTACATTGTGGAATTTGCATTGATATAAATACTTTTGGGGAAAAAAAACACTTTGTGTCGGTTTCTCCATTTTCAACTAACAGTTGGCAAGTGGGAAAAAAAATTAGAAACAGATTAAAACCTTAACAGCTCACCCCGTGACATAAAGACAGAGGTTTTCTATAGGCTGTGGAAATGCGTCGTTTTTTTGAGTTGCCAAAGTGTGTTGCTATCTACCAAAAATGCAGCTGATGAAAGGCTCTTACATTAAGAAAATATAAAACTTTACAAGGGATGGGTTCTCACCCTGTCAAGAAGGAGGCCACATTATTTTTGTACAGAGGCCCAGATGGAATTAGATAGAATAAAAAAAGAGTGCTGCTTACCATCATCCAGATAGGCTTGGTCCAGGTTCTGTTCCTGTTTAATAGTGACTCCGGCTGGTAACGCTTCTTTCTGATCACTAACGGGCGGTCCATTTTTTGCTGCTCTCTGGCTGGTGGCTGTCTGCTGCTGAATCACAGTAGGATATGAACTTGGACTTATCCTTTGTGCTTGACTGACCTGAGGCTGGCTGGGTCTTGCTACATTAGAGGTAAAATTTTCGCAGCACATGATATGCTGGAATTCTTGATGACTTCCACACCTCAGCTGCTGATTGGTTGGAGAATAGTGAATCACGGGAGAAGGTTGTGGACTGGCTGGAGAGTGGTGGAGCACAGCTGAGGTTTGGCCTGGGGAACCAGCATGCACCAGCACTGACCTGTGTGCATCTGAAATGGAAACCTGTGTGGCCATCAAACTGGACTGCTGGTAGCCTAGTTGGCTAGGACTGAGACTTTTGCTTCTTTGGTATATTACAGCTGCTGGGTTCTGCTGATGATATCGAGAATCAGTAGAAGACAGGCTTGAACGCAACTGCTGGCAGGAAGCCATAGTGGCCACGAGACAGGAAGGGGATTCAGTGACCATTGTGTGCTGTGAATAGTAAGGCTGTGTTACTGTTCCCAGACCACTGTGTACTGTATTGCAGATTAAAGCTGGATCATAGTCATCAATGGGCTCTGTTTTGATTGATGGTACTAGAATAAAGCATGCAAAGGACATTATTTTTAACAAGCAACTGAGAAACAAAGATTGTTTTTCCCTGGCACTAAGAAGAGACCTAAATCATTGTGAGAGTGTGTGTGAGTGAGTGCACCCTCCACAAGGGCACTAAAGGTAGTAAATTGCTTGAGTGCATACATGGGAGAATCTCTCGTGAAAGCACTTAGCATTAGGATGGACAAAAACTTTACCCAAAACTTAAACCTCACATTTCTCAAGGTTCAAAAATCCAGATTAGCTCATTATTTTTATTGCTGTCATTTTAATTCATTTTTGGCTCGGTTCTGCAATTTCTAGTTCTAGGTGGAACCCAAAGCAAAACTACGAAGAAACCAGGAGAGAGGCATTCCTCATAGCACTTCTGGCCCCAGTGGAAAAAGGAATTAATAGACTGTTTATGAGACGTGCTGATATTGCAAGATTTGCAGCCCTGTTTTTCAGTCCAAGAGATTAATTAGAGATCCAAAGGAACAGTGTAGGCTTGACCATTATTAGAGCTGTCTTCGAGATCCAATCTTTTTGCATGAGTCTTCCCCAGTAACAATGGACGACATCATCAATAAAAGGAGAATAAACTCCCATTTGTAAAAGTCAACTGAATCTTGATGTGGTGGGAAAAGAAGGGTCTTTTGCAGGCAGATAATGCAATTTTTACTTCTTGTAACCATCCCTACATCTTAATGCCCTGAATCTTAGTGCGGAGATACATACCAGGCAGAGTGGACAATATTTATGTATCCAGATAAAAACAACGAGGAGTCCTTGTGGCACCTTAGAGACTAACAAATGTATTTGGGCATAAGTTTTCATGGGCTATAACCCACTTCATCAGATGCATGGAGTGGAAAATACAGTAAGCAGGTATTAAAAATACAGCACAT